CAATGAAATACAAACCCCGGATAAAATGCCAAAGAGAACGCTTTACTATTATCATGCTGGGGAAGACAGGTATCTGCCCTGTGACCCTGACCCTGACCCTGACCCTGACCCTGACCCTGACCCCGATTATCTCCCCAATGGTCATCCCAATCAAGAACTGAAGGATGCACCCGATACTGGTCAGCAGCCTTCGTCAAGAGTGGACGGACGAACACTACCATCCTTTCCAGAAAACACCTCTGAGTTCCAATATGGACTCTCCCAAGAAGAGACGGTCACAATTGATCCTTATTATCGATAACAAACTCAGCAGTGGAACTTCTTCGTTTCATGGCTACCAACGTGGTAGTAAAATAATGCCGCTACTAAATATATAACTCACAATTTAGAAAAAAATTGTGTCAGCGCCCAATTGGCCAAATGGCATAGGGGCCCAGATTATTACTGTTTATCACTGTTTAAAAGTGTCTATCCGTCCGTAAAGTCATGTTCTGGTAATGTTTTCTGAAAATATGTTTTCTTGTGATCTGTAGGTTATCTCCCTTGTATTCAGCGCAATGTTCACTCGATGTCACATATATATATATATATATACCTAAACGTTTGTGAGGTAATTATGTGGCTGGTTTAGGGCAACGGTTGAACGTGCGATTGTGTTACAGAGGGCTGATCCGATATTGTCTCCAGGTGTGTGTGTGTGAGTTATAGTCAGTTGTGTGCGTTGATTGTATAAAAGTCACGTCGAATACATGTGCACGTTGTTTCATGCTGTGTTCCCACATCCAAAGGGGAAATTCATCCATACATATAGTTCGTTGCTCGGGAATGATTGTAGATATTTGTTTTTGTTTGTTTGTTGTTTAACACCGCACTAAGCAATATTCCAGCTATATGGCGGCGGTCTGTAAATGATCAATTCTGGACGAGACAATCTAGTGATAAACAGCATGAGCATCGATCTCACAATGGGTAACCGATGACATGTGTCAACCAAGCCAGCGAGCTTGACCACCCGATTTTTTCCCGTTGGTCGTCTCTTACGACAAGAATGGGTTACTGAAGATCAATTCTAACCCAGACCTTCACAGGTTGGATTGTTAACAGAACCGTGGACGCCCTGGCAGTGGTTATCCCATGTGCTATGTCAACATTCCAATGACACTTCACACTGTTTACTATAAGATAATTCTATACACACAGATTATAGGTATAACCAGCAGCAGTTCTTAATTTCAGTTCCATGGGTATAATCGCACTCCCCATATGCAGCCACACAATGCAGTCCATGTACACTGTAGCCAACTCGACCAAACATACATCCTCATGTATACATCCTGGACCTCCCATACTCCAACCACCTGGCATCACAACCATAAACCTTCCTTGACGAAACCATGCATATTCATTTGAAATCAACACGCAACAAGATACAGGGCAACATCTGCAACTCCAGACATCAGAATCCACACAAGCTTCAACACTTGGATATAAACATTATCATTTCCACCTTCTGGTTCAAATATGCTAATGTGGTCGATATTGATAAATACTAACGGACTTATCACACCGCCTTGACGAGTTCCAATATTGCATGTGAAACAATCACTTAAACCATTACAAGTTCTTACACAGACAGATTATGAACAATACACAGATAATAGAAACCTAAAAAAAGTACCAGTATGTTAGCCAGGCTATGTACCAAAACTTCGTGATTAACTGTGTCAAATGCTTTACACAAGTTAATAAGTACGTTATGTATATTTTATATATTTAAGTATATTCTCTTATTTTACTTGGACAAAACTTAGGCATTTGATAATAACTGGATTATAGTCTGTTCCGGAGAAAGTTTTATCAGGTTTAAAGTAATCTAGCCTAAACCCATCCTGAAGCTCGGAAAGTACATTATTTTTGTGATAGCTTTGGGACGTCTATGTTTTTAAGCAATTCTGTTAGGTTCACTTTTTCTCATGTTTTTTTCGTGTATAGGCTATGGAAAAACGATTTAGTTTCAGTCATAAGATCTTCTTTTTGGGGTAGGGTTTCCTTTTGATTTTTTTCAAGTTTATATATTGCTTGTTTAAAAGTTTCGATTTTCTAGAGACTGAAAATATTTTGTCGGTTTTTCTCCTTCGTCTTTCCATTTAGCTTTTAGATCGTAGTAATGTCCCCTCTGTTTCTTTTTGTTAACAGTCTCTAATTCTCTATTTGCTTCTTTTTAATTCATCCTGTAGATTTGTTTTGGGAATCTGTATCATGTGATGAATATATATTTATTTCAAGCTCATCTATGCTTTTTTTTCAAGCGTTTGGCGCATACTGAAATTTTCTTTCTTTTTATAGGATGAATAATTTATTGTGTGTCCTCTGATCATTAACAAAAGCGTTTCAAAGAATAGCTGATCGTTTACTTTGAAGACATATTTCCCTGTTTCGTCTACGTAAGATTTGTATTGTTCTTTGATTTCATTTATCATAATTTGTTTTTTTCCACATATGTTTTGAGAAAGTACATTATTACTCATTCACCACTGTGCCAACCTATGATGCATTGCAACAGATAACTCGCTGCCCAGTGAGAGTATAAGAGAAATGCCCTGAGTTTCCTATAAACCTATTGACGAAGTTTAGTGTTTTCGTAACGCAGGAGGGACAAACTAAAGTTATATCAGTCGCAATTTTGGGCACACATCTGACCAACACTCCAAATTACTCCAAATCTTCTCTATCCGTTAATGTATGCTTTTGTATGCTGGATGAATATGTTCATGAGGTGAGCATTAGTGCGGGGTGGTGGGGTAGCCTTGTGGGTAAAGTGTTATCTCGTCAGCCTGAAGATCCAGGTTCGATTCCCCACATGGGCACGTGTCCCCGTTGTGATATTTCCGAATATTGCTAAAAGCAGCGTAAAACTAAACTTACTCACCCACCCATTAGTTAATTCGGTAGCCTTAGTCAAGCCAAATTAACCAATGAAAATCGCTCTTGTCGGGTGGGTTGGCCAACCACAATGTGAATAGGAACAATGTCAGTCTCAAAGTCCACGAAAAGCACTTGTTCGGGACTTAAATATCTGCGTCATGTCTTTTAGACCTGTTTGGTCGGATTAAGGTACCAATTCTGTCTCTACTTTTCATTTGTGATTGTCCTAACGAGAGTTAAAAAGTCTACCATATCCGAGAATTTACCATGAAATCAGACATATATTAATGTGCGCCGGCAGACACTTCGGGGACTGTTAACGCTAATCTCTTACTGTTAACTGCAAACACATGTGCATACTTGTAAACTATGTTTTTTCACTATTTTTTACACGGATTGCAGACACAGTATGATTAAACCAACCAACACACCCCCCCCCCCCCTTAAACGTCAGAACAAAAGAAGAGAGAGAAAACACCTGATACCAAGTGTGACCGAACATAAGTCATCTCCTTTACAAAAGGCTTAAGTTTTTTCATTGAAATACCTGTTACGTATATAGTGTGTGGAATGTTTAAAACTTAAAGTGGATTTTAATATTTCATTACCTACGAGGGCGAACATATAGGGGTTCATATTTTTCATACGATGCCCTAGGGCAAATATCACTTTGTCATGATGACGTGACGTCATGAACAATGCTATGACGTCACGTTTCTTCTGTGACGTTGCGTTCTACATGCGGCGATTTGGGTTATTTTCCTCAATTTGACGACTTCGGTAATAAACAGAATATTGCATTCGTGCCCACATCATACTATGTTTACGAAACTCGTGCCTAAATATCGTATCCCTTGCTCTCGCTCGGGAAGTACCAACATTTAGGCACTCGTGTCGTAAACATAGTATGATATGGGCACTCATACAATGTCCTCTATTTACATTTATAGATAAAAAATTCCTACCTAACAATAATAATAGATAAAAAACATCATTAGTATATATGTATTTTCTCTCAATCCAAACATAAGCTGTAGATCAAAATTCATGTTGTGAACGTGAATTCTTTCCTATTAAAGATCAAATTAGCTGAAAGCAACTTGTGCGAATTATGTCAACGTGAAGCTGAAACAATTGGACACCTTTTTAGGGATTGTAATCATGTACATGCCTTTTGGAAGGTGGTGGTGGTGGGATTGGGTTTAACGTCGTGCTTGAGAATATTTCGCTCATATGACGACGTGCATGCGTGTGTATGTGTAAGTGCGGCTGCTTGTACACGCACAGACTAAAGCTTGTTTTATAGTGCTAGCCAACTGAGATACCATGCCGCAGTGAAGCATGAATACCCCACTCAGACACATTATACTGACTCCGAGCCAACCAATCCTTATTGTACCCATAAATGCCGAGCGCCAGACAGGTAACAACAAGTACAATATTTTAACGTCTTTTGGTATGACGCGGTCGGGGATCGAACCGGCGACGTTCCGCTCTCCGGGCGGACGCTCTAACCACTACACCACGGAGGGCCTTTTGGAAGGATTTTCTCAAAGTACTTAATGAATAATGTTTACACGTTCAAACAAGCAAATCCAATAATCCTACTCGGTAAAAATATTTTCCATCACAATAAATATAGCTATCGAATGAGGAATTCCCTGTATGATATAATTTCATAGAATAAAACCCAACCCAACCCAACATAAGGTAAACCTTTGCAAACATTAACACAACTACATTTACCATCAAAATGATCTATTCCTTACAACTAAACGGATGTGTTGTCAAATACATACAAGTTCAACTCTACCCTGCCATAGGGATAGCCCTCTAAACTAGTTAACACAACCTGCCCAGTCACTGAGAAGCCCTAATCTTTCATGTGTCCAAACATGTGTCTCTCAAGCAGCAATTCTAGTGTATAAGATAAGACCCAAACATATTAGACAAGCACCTTGTGACCGTCAATCAAAGTGAACCGAGGTTCAGGGTGAGTGAGTGAGTTTAGTTTTACGCCGCTTTTAGCAATATTCCAGCAAGATCAAGGCGGGGGACACCAGAAATGGGCTTTACACACTGTACCCATGTGGGGATTCGAACCCGGGTCTTTGGTGTGACGAACGAAGGACCAGGGTGAACTAAGTACAGTTAGTGAACTTAAGGAAAGCCATTCCTTGACTATAAGGATTTGTGCCAGTCGTTTTTTGTAAGGATGTTCCAATTGTAGAGTCAAGCAAAAACGGTTTTATTTCTTTAAAAAAAGTCACCGTGTTCTTTCGTCAAACTTCATTGTGCCCTCATACTTAAATATAAAAGTTATTATATACAAGACTTTCACATGCTGATCTGTAAACATTTTTGTTAATATTTGGCAGACATTGGATCACAAGTGGTTGTGACAAGCTTTTGAAGGCAGGTGAACAACCAACTATCAGCTTATCTGGTCACAATTTTAGTTTGACATATCTCTGAAACGCGTCGGCAATTCTCACGGGCATAAGTTGCATTGCTGGTAATATTTTTGACTAGCTTGACATATCTCTGACAAGTTTTCACGACAAATACTGTTCAACAGTTTTATCATAACATATGTATGCCTATTTAGATGTAATTGTTTACATTATTTGTCAAATTAATGATTTACTTATGTTTAAAGTGCAATCAAACATTAAGTGTTTACATGGACTGAGTAAATCTTACAAAAAAGACGTATTTGCAAACAGAATCTGGTTATGCTAATCTTTTGAAAATTTCATTCAGATTAACCCCGGAAAACATATAACCTTGATGCATTACACTGAACACATAACGTCCACACTGGAGATACCACTCTCGATT